TAAGTTTAAGCTTTGTTGTAACATGCGTTGTTTGCCTGGACTGCTCAAGACCTGAATGCTTGTGTAGGAGGAACTCTTCAAGTTGTCTTCTTAAATACCTTCATGCTGTTTCACATCTGATACTCCTTGATGAAACATAGGAGCCTTGTCTTATAACAGGCTTATTCAAAGTGATACAAGCTACGAAAGGAAAGTGAGGTCTTGGAAGAGTGTTTCCGTTTTCATAATGTAATAAAATACTGTAATGATGAATAATAATTAATAATAAATAGTGTGTAATAAGCATGTCATAAAAACAAATTTTATATTTCCAAGATCACTACTTTTATAATTTATACTCAGGTAAAGGAGAAAATCCCTGGATATATTCATTTTTAGGAGGGGGTTCGCAAGACTTGACATTTTAGTGAAAGGGGTTCACAGGTTGTTAAAGTTTGGGAACAACTGGTCTAGACAGAAACTGTGGCAACAGCAATTTTGGTATAATGAACAGGAGGATGATAGAAGGGAGGCTATAGCTGATATTGCTAATTTTCTCTTTGAAAAAGCCTTCAAGATCTTGTTCACAGAATGAGGCGGGGACAAATGCCCCAATTATTTTCTGACTTTAACCTCCCATATGCCACGTTCTGTCCAACTGCACTTAATTTCATTCGTACGTTTCAGTTTTGGTTAGTTATGTCTTCTACAGCAAAATGATATGCAATGAAAATTGTGTCTCATCTGTTAATTTCTTTTCTTCTATCTTCTGACACTCCTACTGTGCATCCTCCTTTCCCATGCAGTTAAAGGACAGAACAAGAGGTGCAGGAGAAAGCCTTGTCCTTTCATAAGAAGCTCCAGACAGCATTGCACTCAAAGCTGTAACAACACTTAACTGTTAAATATGAATTAATTCATAACTATCTGTAAAGAACCAAACAACATTTTAATATCCTGAAAGTGAGTGAATGGAAAAAAACAAATATATCTAAGGATATCCCAGAACCCATAACTAAGGTGGGGTAGATTCTCAGATATGGCAGTAGGAGAAAAGAAATTAGAATTTTCAGACACTCCTACTGAACGATTTAAGAATTAGTGAAAAGCAACAGAGGGTCCTGTGGCACCTTTAAGACTAACAGAAGTATTGGGAGCATAAGCTTTCGTGGGTAAGAACCTCACTTCTTCAGATACAAGTGAGGCTCTAAAGGAGAGGGAAATTCAGAGCAAACCAGTTGTTTTTGGTAGAGTAAATCTGGATAAGAGATTAAACTACTGAAGGCACTGCCCATTGCAGAGTTCTTCTATCAAAAGTTGCATCCACAGAGGACATCATCTATTTGGTAGTGCTTTGGATCTCACTGCTTCTTCAGGAAGACTGTCAGACATGAAAGTGTAGAAGAATGGAAATGTTGTTTTGCCTTTAGCCTAACATAAGTGTGAGCAGAAGAGCAGCCTTGCAAATACCGACAAAGATTTCATGAGATCTCTCTGCCCCAGAAATAGCCAGTGACCTGGTTGAATGAATTGTAATTCCTGGAGGACGAGATTTGCCTCTGACCTTGTCTGCTTCTGAAATACACATCTTAATCTTGAATATCAATAATTTAGAAAAAGGTTTCTAAAAATAATTTAGAAACATCTTCCCTATAACTGACTGGCAGTACAAAGGGAATCTGAACAGAGAATTTGCTTCCCTTTAGATATGCATATTTGCTTCCCCATAAAGTTCACATCTTTCTTCTTTACGTTGTTTTAGATCCAGACAAAAGAAAGGCAAAACAGTAATGTGGGGTCTGTGCAAATGGATCTTTTTGGGGAATGAAGGCTGGGATAGCTCTCAGGCCTGAAGGAGACCGTGTCATTGTGAAAGATGCTGAGTTGTGGCTCACTGACAAGGTCTCCAATTCTGAAATTCTTCCGAGGTGATTCAAAGGAAGAGGATAATTACCAGACTTAATCACCAGGTAAGGAACATGCAAGATTAATGGTGGAAATATTGGGGAAATAGGGAAGAAGACAAACTCTGCCACTTCAAGGAATCTTTTTATATATTGATAATAGTAAAATCAGACCCTGTCTGCCTAATTCTAGTAGTTTATATAAAGTCGCTACATGTAGCTTCAGAATGTTCAGCCTAAGGACCTAGGATAGATACAGAAATGGAGAGGCATTGAACATGCTTTGCTTTTTGTAGTCCTTTGCTTAGCCCTGTTAAGCCTTCTTCCCTGCTAAAGCATGCTAGAAGAACCTTCCTTTGAAATGGTTTATGAAGGGGGAAGTTCTTCTTTAATAGTTTGGTCAATATCTTAAGAACTTAAAAAAGTTATACTTTTAATTTTGCTACCTTGTTAATGTAACAACACTATATCTGGCAATGCTCGAGTGGGGGTGCAGGCAGGAACTGTTCCCCATCCAAAAAAACCCTGAGAATTTGGAATTGTTATGTTGCTGTTGAATGGGTGGAACAATCTGTAGCTTCCTATGAAGGAAAGGGCTTATATCCCCATAGTTTCAGGTCTGATTCTTCCCCATACTAGGTGTAGAGAGAAGAGAAAACCCAAAGCAGGATTGTCAGACGTTTAATTCACAAAAAGTTGTTTCTCTGATATACATTCTAGTCTTTTGTGCAAACAGCGCAGTCCTCCTGGATAAAAACCTTGTAGCTCTTAAGAATTTACATTTTTTTCATCAATTTGCCTGTTATCCATGAAGTTAAAAAATAAACTATATATAAATCGTATATCAGTTTGAAACACTAGTAATTACACTCTTGAATATGCTCTTTGCCTTCTTCCTTTTATATTTGTTCCAGGACCAAAGCCTATACCTGTAGTCACACAAAGGGTAAACTTGGAAACTACAGCACTGAGATGTCAAGCTTCAGATTGTACTTTCCAGGAAATAGCAGCAACTGTGTCTGTGGCTGTCTCCTTGGCAGATTTCTTGTACACCCTATTATCTAGTTCCATTTCTGGTTTTGCTTGTCGCTAAAGAGCTGTTTGTAGGGGCTGGTTCATGATCAGCCTGCTGTCGGGCTGTTCTGGATGCAATTATTCTTTGATTTACCACTGAACATGTGGACTTCGCTCTTTTTTCCTACATTTTAAAATTAGGCCTTTCCGAAGTCTTAGTCACATCTTTTTCAGACGAAATAAAAGATGTTTTGTTAAGTTTGATTTATAACAAAATATTCATAAGGAAGCCATCACACATTATAGAGGATATCCCTTGCAAAATGAGGTTATGTTAACCATAGATTACACTCAAAGCCTCCCCTGAAAAAAAACAAAAGGGACTCTGTCTAGGTAAACTGTTTATTAAAAAATAAAGGCCTGTTACTGCACCTACTGAAGTCAATGGAAAAGCTTCCATTTTCTCCAGTGAAACAGGATCAGACCCTAAATGTCTATAAACATTAGCTTTTGAGATGACAACTCAATTTCTCTTGAGAGATTATTGGTACTGTAAATGAAAAACTTCAAAGCTATCAAAAATCGGCTCAGATACATAATACACATAAAACATCATTTTGAATTGTTCCAGAATTTTTTATATTGAACGTGTAATAGAGCAACTATGATACCTTATGACACTTAAAATATGTTATTAACTATCTCTGCTTAGAAATTATTAAAATGATTATTTTTGTATGCTGCTTTAAATTAAATTTCTTCATTTATGGCCAAATAAATATTCAAGCCACACTGTATAAAACAGTTTGGTATTTGTTAAATTGACAAACCAGTGACAAATATAAATGTATTCCAATGTATATACATCCATCTACTAACCATTTAACATGTATGCTCATTAAACACATACATAAATACGTATGACTCTCTTCAGTCTAAGGTTTGAATGGAAACAGCTATATTCTAAAGCATTTAATTTTCTAATGATGTAATGTCGTCATCATGTTAGTAGTGGGCAAGTGCTCAGGAGCTAATGCACATAAATCGAATTATTTCCTAATAGATTTTTTGGGGGTGTATTTTCCATCTCCCAGTGGGAAAATTTACTTTGACTGTCTGGATACCATTAGGATTCTGTATACACTTTTTATGGATGATGTCAAGCAAGAGAGTGATTTGAGCCCCTAGGCTTTTTAGAGAGAGGGTAATGAGGAATATTGCTAGCAGGTTTGTTGTATGTAAATTTTACCCTTCCAAAGAGATACTGTTATGGCTGTAGGTGAAATGTTTGACCTACTAGCTGTATTTCATGTCGTGGCTGTGTACTTTCCCCTCCTGTGCTCATCTGCTCTTCTCCTATGCATATAGAGGCATATTGGTCTGTGAGCATTTGAGAGCAGGATTCTAGTAAGGAATGTTTTAATTTAATAAAATATCTTGTAGGCGAGTGGAAAAAGTGTATTTACAAGTCTACTAATGTGGAAAGAACCAGTTCTATGGGTTTGTTGGATACTCATCTCTGTTTTGCAATTCTGCTCTTGGAATGGCCGAGTTGAGGACAAATATCAGTTATGGGATGAAAAACAATATGAACAGGAATATGCCATTTTCAAGATAGGTAAAAGTTTAAAGGTTAAATGCAAAAGAAACATGAGAATTGAGTTTAGCACTGAAAACCAGAACTTAATTAACGTCCCCACTAGCCAAGGAATTCGGCACAGAAATAGGTTCTAACCAACTTATTAAAAATCTGTTTTCCCTCTCTGTGAAATCTTAGCACTTCTTGGATCACAAAAGGTAACCTCAGAATACAGTGTCATCAGTGCCAGATGTGCCACTGGAATCTATGGGCACAACACAGAAAATATAGTATAAACTAGATTATTCATAATGTCCCTTATGTGAAACTCCATTTTGTTAAAAAAAAAAAAAAAAAAGATCATACCCCTGATATTTATTAGTGACACTGAAAATTCTCTTGGTTATCCAAACTTATTCAGTATCCCCCCTGTTGTTGGGATAATCCTGACTGTAATGTACTATGTATGTAAGGATTAGATAATAATGGCATTCTCTTATATGTTTAAAAAGAAAGACCCACCATGTTAATATATTATTTAACCACAGCTTTTATTTAAGTGCAATATAGATACTTTCCCTGAAAACAAGTAGCTCAAAACATATTTATAAACTTAACAGATACAGACTGCAAACAAACTAATGAAATGCATAGGTTTTCCAGAAAAAAATCTGAGAAAATATGATCATTTTAACAAACCAAAACGTAATTACAACATAGCTTCTCTATCGGTTGTGGTATTTATTATCCCAAACATCTTAAAAGCACACAAATGTGAAAACCTGTACATATGTTTTTAAATATCCTATGTCACACATTTCTTATGAAAATACCCACTTACAGTTGGCACAGTAAATATATTTTTTCCTGATAGTCAAAACAAATTTAATCTTGCATATGGCACAGAGAATTATTTACACACACCACAAAAGACTTCAGTGAGCAGTTCATTGGGCAACAGCAATTTAGTTAGGGTTTAGCTATAATAAAATATGCATATTCAAGGCTTGAAATGAATTTTTAGGTATTTAGTTGGGTATGGAACAATTTAATGTTTTGTAGTAGTTAAACACTGCCATCTGTATCTTTGGGCCACAATTAAAAAAACAAGGGTATGACCATTAAAAGTACATATCCTGAGATTTCTTTCTTTAGGGGGCACAAAGGTTAAAAAGGAAAAACTGATCTATGCATAAACCAGGAACACATGTGGCAATGAGAAAAAACAGCAAATGCAGGGCAGTTAGAGAGAAAACCCTTGAGAAAGACAGAGAAAGAGAGAGACCGAAGTGACATGGTAAGATGAACAGCAAGGTCTACTGGAAAAAGGAGAAGCTGACTAGCTTTATGTTTTGAGTATGGTAAAATCTACTCAATCATACTAACAAAGTTAAACCTGTAAACTTTCTTCAGAAGTTTAAAAAGCAGCATTTAAGACTGGAGCATCAGTTGCCTATTATAATGCAAAATAGCATGACTTCATTTACAATCAGCATTCATTTCCATCCCTGGAAAAAGCAAAGACAGTCTAAAAAGAAATATGCACAACAGGCTTTGCATTTGTGGCATCAGAGTAAAATATCAAATGCTGCAGAAGTCCATGACATCACAGGTAAAAATAATGAAATGTGTGCATATACAGTCCACTTATTGACAGTCACCAATTAATGTATTAACAAATGGATCTCTTACTCAGGATTAAACAAAACTAATAGTTCTGCTTGACTATTTTAGGAACAAATTCAGTATTTCTGAAAAGTTACTTAAGTGTAATGTAAGATGCTATGTTAAGGAATAAAACAGTATGAGATTTTAATTATTTTTGTTTTTATGCATGTGTTATATAAATGGCATACCACAAAAACATTTAAGCAGTTAAGTTACAAAACAAAATATTTGTGTAATTATCTTCAAGTTGTTACGGTGCACATTCAAAGGGACAGAAAGATAAAGACATATTACAAATCACAAAGCACTGAATTTTCAAGTGTAAAATCATACCAAAATCTTGATAAATTATCATTGATGTTGTAGGAGAGCAATTGGTCTGGAAGGCCATTAGAGGTGTCCTGTGCTGCTAGCACATGGGGTGCTAGGGTGAAGGGTACATCACTGAGGAACTCTGACATGAAATGATTGCTTTCCAAATGTTGACTTGTCTCATTTCCCTCCTCAGCACCCACTACAGTCAAATGTGAATGTTTTTCTGTATTTGGCTAAAGAAAACAAAGGAACAATAATTTAGACACTACAAATTACAAAGTTTAAGCTTTACACTTGAAAACATGATGACCTACTTATAATATGCAGTAGTGGTGTTTGGTTGGGGTAGACTACAAATTGAATTCTTAATGCCTACCATGGCAATTCCTTGAGTCAAACTTAGTTTAGCCAAGGCTGTATTAACAATGGATTTTTCTGAATGAATAATGGCAGTTTTTCTGGCCACATAATTCTACTATACAATTGTGAACACTGATTGACAAATATACCAATGTAGACTAATTTAAAATGGAAATTGCCCAACTAGTTGGGTGTGCCTGTAATGACCACATAAAGTGATTGTTTGTTTTTCTTGTTACATGCACTAACAGTTTTTGCACAATGTGACCATCATAGATTATTGAGCAAGTACTGATAAAAAGAAAAATCTGGGCAGTTTACTTCAAAATCCTGCTATGCAGATTAAACAAATTATATGGTCCATTAGATAGGGTACTGGATTAGGGGAGACTTGAGTCCTGACCTGTTGTGACACCTTGGATAAATCACAATCTCTATCTCAAACTATGGTCCACAGACCACTCCTTTCAGGTGGTCTGCGGATAGATCCCTCTAAAGTGCGCGCCTGGGTGGCCGCACATGAGAGAATGAGGGGGCACCCACCTAATTAGTGGAGCCGCGCTGGCGTGGCTCCACTAATTAGGTGCCTGGACCCTGGAGAAGAAGCACATGTAAGGTGAGGAGGTGGCCTTGGGGGGAATAGGGGGTAGGTGGGAGGGGGAAGTGGGGTGAGAAGAGGGGGTGGGGGGAATTTAGGATGTGCAGGGCTGCGGCAGCCCGAGAAAGAGGCGACTTTCCCCAGCTCCAGGGCTGGGGCTGCCAGGGAGAAACAGCCTTCCTCTCAGCCCCAGCTCGGGGGCTGCCACGGCGGGGGAGAGAGGGAGAGACGGAGAGACCCTCACCCCTCCTTCCCAGTCCCATTTCGGGGGCTGCCGCGGCGGGGGAGAGAGAGCGCATCCATCACATTAGAAAGGTAAGACTACTGATATTAAAACATGAGTTGTGTGCTTTTATATGTAGAACAAAAACACATTATTATTAAGCTTTTTTTACATCGCGCTTTACAATAGTTAGCTAACAGTACAAACAACATTTGGAAAGATCATTAAGTGGTCTGCTGAGACCCTCAGCAATTTTCAAGTGATCCGTGAAAAAAAAAAAAAAAGTTTGAGAACCACTGCTCTATCCTATAGTTTTGCCATATTTAAAACAGAGACACTAAACCCTCCTTCCTTTGGAAAGCACTTTGAGATCTATGGATGAAAAATACTCTACAGGAAGTAAATATTATATTGCTATTTATATCTTTAAAGCACTGTACAAACATTTGTTAATAATTCACAGCATCTCTGCGAGGTAAGTGATTACTGTATCTCCATTCTATAGAAGGGCAAACATAGAGAGAGATGTTAAGTGACTTGTTCAAATCCAGTTAGTGATAGAAGGGCATAGAACAGAGCTCAAATTCGATTCCCAGCCCCGTGTTTACTCCTTTAAACCACTCTCATATACAAGTAAATGCAAATATAGAAAAAACTAAAGAATATTTTTATTACTAAGGAAGGAATGTAAAGTTATATGATCAGCGTGAACATAAATTTTCAAACAGTTGGACAAGTTTTTAAGATGCATGACTCCCATTAACTTTAAAGGGAGTCAAAGCTAAGATGAGCAATGCCAGATTTCTGTGTCATCTGCACATAACTATAGTTCTTGTGGAGAAGCTAAGGGTTGTGGCTGCTGGCAGGGGATAGTTCGGGCTTTTGGTTCCAGCAAAATTATAAGAGGCAGTTGAGTCTTTTGGCAAGGGGATGGGGAGGGGTGACATTTTCCCCTTGTGGGCAGGACTGGAGATGTCTTGAAAGCAATCTGATAGCAAATAGATGATTCTCATCTAGTAATGATGGATAAACAAACACTAGATAACTGTCTACTAAAATGATCAGCAGTGAAAGAGTTAACATTTACAATTCATTAGGTTTCAGAGTCATCACACTGCTGAGATTAATAAGGAAATGCTGACCTCTCAGAACTACTGTTTCAGAATAAGGAAGGAAGTACTCAAACACTTACATTTGGTTTGCATTTGGAAGGCTTTCTTTACAATGATAAAGGCTAGACATTTAAAACTTAAGATCTACCGCACAAAATCCACAATCACAGAATATATATGAACACTCTCCTTGGGTTTGGAAATTTTATGAGATATCTAATATCCAGATGAACAAACGTAGTAGCCAAAATAGATACAAAAGATGGCGTTCCACTGTCCATAGGCAATGCCCAGGTGAAAAGAGAACCTTCCACCCAGCTGATGGGATTCACTCTAGGTGGCTACCTTTGAACTTAAGTTGTGGTCTCCCTCTTTCATACCAGCCTCTGGTGTCAAAGCTGAAGGCCCTATCTCCTTGAAAAGAAGGAATATTCTCTCTCTTCTCATATCTCATTCTAGAGCCTCCTGTCAACAGAATATGCCTATGGTTGGGTTTCTGCTTGTCTAACCCACTCTCACCCAGCCCCTTGGCTGTTGCAATATGGGTGTGTGTCTGCTACTCAGCTCTTCCCTCTGCTTTCTAGCTGCTACAATGGATGTGTTTCTTTTATTCTTCATCCCATCCCCAGACTCCCTTTTCGGGTTCTGCATTCTTGTGAGTAGCTCCAGTACTTGCTTGTGCTGTTGCTCATGGTTTTGAAAAGGATTAGCAGAATGAAACAGACAGGGTCCTGGTCAGTTTCTTTCTTTTGCCTCTGGGATCTAAGTGACAGCAGTGAAAATTAATAAAAGAGTATGTTCAATTTTAACTCTGCTGAAGGTTTCCAAAGCTGCAAGGAACAGCTGAGACAATGGAGCTGTATATCTGCAAGCTCAGTAAGACGTTCTTGCACCTGTTTATACTCCATTCCATTATCTTTGCAACTATCAAGGCCAGCAAAAAAAAATTTATAAAAGGAATCTTAGATTATACAGCAGTTCATCTCATTGGGAAAGCTTCCTACTTGCCGAGAGCAAACAGGAAAGTGGATTTTCAAGCTCTGCACGATAAAAGAATTCATACTGAAATACAACTATCCTGCCTATATAGACACTTTCTTTTCTGAGAACTTTGATTATCAGAAGGAAGCACACTAGTTTAACAATTCAGTTTCATTTAGAAAAGAAGCAATAAAAGACCAGGTATCTGTGCCTTTAATTTCTAACCTCTAAATAAAAAGGCATGTTTACCTTTAAACTGTACCCTGCACAAGCATCACAGTCACTTTATCTCTCCAGATAATTGTCCTATTTGGGCTTTTTTAGAGGTGCTGGTATCAGCTTGCATTACATCAGCCTCATGCTGGCAAGCACAGATCTGAGTCAGAGACAGTAAATGGAGGTTAGGAAAAGGTGGTATTGTAAGAGTTTGGTTATAAGGGGTCTTCATATAACATTTTTTCTCACCTTCCTAGGGAAAAAGGAGCCCTCATTTGCTGTCCTGATCCTATGGCCTAGATGATAATCAGAAATCCCTAGACTCCTATGTTTGTTTGGAAGACTACACTCTTAAGAACATCTGTTTACATCCTAATTGGCCCACAAAGTGGATGAATTCAATTTACAATGCAAATTAGAACATTATGTGCCAAAATTAGTTTAAAATAAGATGAAAAATACAGGCACGTGGTACACAGAAAGACAGTTACATATCCCCCCTTCTTCCATGTAATAAATGTCATGCCTGTGAAAGGTGCAAATTGGTAGCACTGGAAATGTTAGTGCAAGATTAAAAAAATAAAATAAAAAAGGACTGCTAATTTACTTCAACCAGTGGTTGGATTAAGAGGAAAATAAATTGACAGTATTTTACTCTTAAACCCCATTTTCACCATACTCCCAATCCCCACAATTGTCATTCACCAAATCCACCTTGTCAGGTATTTCTGTATTACATAGATATGCATGCTATTTAACTTATAAAAACAGAATTAAAGAATAGCTCTGAATAGCTGGGAGCAAAGCAGCATGTGAAAGATAGGAGCTGAAAGAAAAAATACTGGGACATCAAACCTGTTACTGGAATAATCTGATCCCTGGCTTCAACAATGCCGTGGAGAGAGAGCCTCAAGTTCTATATGGGTAAATTGAGGCTCAGAGAGGTGTAAAGTGGTTTGTCCAATGTCACAATGCGAGCCAACGCCAGAGATGGGAACAGTGCATGTACCACTGGAACACAGTCTCCTCAGTGAAAACAAGTATGTGTTTTTACTATTTTAAAATGTTCACATTCATTGGTTTAGAGAGAGTCACACAATACACTAATTTGCTGAAAGAATTCCCACCTCCTGCTGTTGTGGAGAAATAAATGTCTCAGGGGGATCACTTCTCTGCAACACCTAAGCTAAGGTTAGGTGCCATGGATAAAGGGGGGCTTACAGAGACCTGGTCACTGTTCCCCGATTCCACTCTGCTGGGTCCTGGCATCACTTAAACCTGAAGGGGGATTCTTTACATTGTGCTGCTGGTATGACGCCTTCTGCCAGCAGAGAATCAGATGGAATGGAGCCTGGTTCTCCCCCCCGACATGTCTTCTCCTTATGCCAGCTCCAGTGTAGAAGGTGGTGGCAACGCATGATAAAGCCACCACTGCCGGTTTTACACTAGCTGAAAATAATCCCTACAAAGGGGGAAGTCCCCAGGGGATTTCTCAAACAAGGGTAAATTCACTTTACATTGTGTAAGCAGCACAAAGTGAACTTAGTCAACTGGAAAATCCAACCCCACGTTTGCACTTTTTAACCCCTTCAGTACTGTTGAATACATCCAGGTATCTGGTATAAAATGCAACTCCATTCTTTATCATCATTTGTTTTATGATAGTTCCCATCTATGTACTACATACTGTACACACATATAAGGAAAACAACTCTCAGCTCTGAATAGTTCACAATTTCAGAA